TTTTTTTTTTTTTTTTTTTTTTTTTTTACCAGATTGGCAAAGCTCACGAGGCCAAGTGTCTCAATGAGCATCAGGTTTAATGGCTCAGAATTAATTAAATGTTAAGATGTGGCCCGTTTTCAAACGGAGGGGCCTGGAAGTGTTTGTTTTTGTTGTTGTTTTCTTTGCCGTGATGGGGCTTTAATTCTCCAACCATTACATGTGGCTCCTCACACCAGGCCCTGCTCAGAGGTTGTTTCGTGTCACACAGGCCTCTAAAACAAATACACAAAGACAAATGTTTGTTTAATATTAATACTTGGCTCTCTTTACGCACGGCAAAGTCCTGGCCTGATCCGTGCGTAAAATTGACACTTTATCGTTTCACTTTTGCGCATGTGGGAATCTAAGAAATCACAAATGAGATTGTTCTATTAAGATAAACCCTGTCCACTTTTTAAACCCTACAATTATTTTTTGTTCTGAAATGCTTTCAATATATGACAATGTCAAAAAAATTAATGGGAAATGTCTTTGACTTCCTTGAATCGCTATACAAATAAATTACATTATTACTGTTGTTATTATTTTGATGTGACTCCCATGTTAGAGATGGAAACAAAGGCTTTAAAGTTTGATATGAATAAAGTTGTTTCAAAGTGAGGAGTTATATGATGTTCTGTGGTGCAGCAGCAGGAATCAAAGCTGGTATATTCATCCTCTTATTGCATTAATGTCATGTGTTGTTTCTCCCGCGTGTTCACCAAAAAAAGCTTCACCCTCCTCCTCCATGAGCTTGACCTCCCATTTCTACTGGCTGCATAAGGCTGGAGCTCGTAGTGGGCCTGTACTTCACATGTGTGCGCAGGAGCCTGAAGGTCGGGCTGCTGGGTGTGTGTGTGTGKGTGTGTGTGAGTGAGTGTGTGTGTGTGAAGGAGAGAGAGGCTACTGAGGCGGCATCAGGCAAGGCATTTTCTCTTTACCCCGACAAACCTTCAGGGGGCTTTTAGCATTTGTTCAGTCTGCAGTCTCTGGAAAACATCTGATTCATTTTTCTAACCAGTCCCAGATGCGCCAGTGTGAGCGTGTGTGTGCATGAAGCGCGCGTCACCCTGAGTCTGCGGGAGAAGATCTGTGACGGAGGGAGGGAGAAGAGGAGAAGAAGAACAGTGTGGATTTTTTTCCCGGTAATATCACTTTTTTTTAAGTATGAACGCAGATACGTGCGTCTCATACTGCGATATGACATCGATGGATTCATATTATAGCACAGCCACCGCTGCGCAAGGTAGGGAGCACCAGGCCAACAACCCGTTCAGGACTTTCCCGAGCGCAGAGAGCAAATACAGCCCCACGTTCATCCCGGGTAAAGGGCAGGCGTACGGGGAGAAGTCCCGGAGCCCCTTCCAGTCGGAGTGCCAGTCGCTGGATGGCGCGGAGGAGGGCACCTTCAGCAAGTACCAGCTCTTCATGCAGCGGCCGAGCTGCAAGACTCCGCCCGAAGGCAGCAAGCTGCACCCGGACAGCGCGCACAACGGGACGCTCATTTCCTGCTATGGTGAGTGCGCACGCTCGTATATAGTGTGACTGTGGGAGACAACATGTTGGCCCCGAGTCTGAAGGAAATGCAAGACAAGAGGGGATGTTTGTAGGCGATGATGGAAAGTTACTGTAATGTCAAACACAGCGTGAGAGTCAGGAACAGAAACATAGAGAGAGAGAGGGAGAGAGAGAGAGAGGGGCCAGCAGCAGTCTGCAGCCTCTCTTTCACTCAACAGATCGGTGCGTGTTTCTACTATTAATTCATAATTTAACGATGTGGAGTAGTTACTTGTCACTAGTGTGATTATATGTGCAATGTGAGCAAACAGGAGAAAATACTTCATATATGTGAATGCAGGCTATATCCTACTTTATTGTGCATGGGAGTATGTTTGAGATAAAATGACAAAAACTACAAATAATACAGAATTAAATAATTAACCCTGCATAGCTTTGATTTAACATTTTTATTTTTCAATTTCAGTTTTGCTGGGCTATACAGTTTAAGAACTGAGTCCAGTTCATGAATTTTCTTTCTGCAGAGTCGTTGCTCTGACTGAGATTTGATGAAGATATTATAGGACGTGGGTTTAATTTATTTTGTGTTTATTGACCTAATGACGTTAACAAGTCCCAGTTTTCACCAACCACATTTTTGCATTTATAATTTCCTCCCGCAGCATCTCTGTCACAAATCTCACATGATCCACAACTGCAGCATTTTATTTTTACTGTTTTTTTCTGCATAAATACCCTCTGACAAATACATATCAGGAATTTGAAAAATATAAATAATATTCAAATATTTTCTAGGCCTACATGTCACCGAGGCTCGTCTGCAAACACACACACACACGCACAAACGGAAAACCTCACTCTGGTAAAAAAACAAAACAATTAACACTACTTCCTTTATTTTGATTTATTTTATTTGTTGTAAATTATTTCCAACACAATTAGGGCTTCATCTTTCATAACAAACAGAAGAACTGAAGGACAACTGCCGCAGCATATAGGCCACGATCTCACCATGTGGGGACCAGAAGAAAATGTCCATTCAAATCTAGATTTAAAGATTTGTTATCACATTCTGACAAATACCATCAATCAGAAAATTAAACTGTGCGTCTTCAAGGAGTCTCACGACAATTCGTTGCTCTGTTAATGTCGTTTAACATAAACAGACATTTTACTGTCCTATTTATGAGACATTAAAATAAACGTAAGAATAAAATAATAAAGCGCTTCTTGCGAGCAAAATGACCCAAACACTGACTGTGATAACAGGTCAAAACAGCACGATCCCTTAAATATTATAATTGACTTAAATATAATATACTGCCTATATATTATGATTGGTTACTTGGTTACAACATGAAAATATATTTTGTTTAGCGATCAGACCCGTTGGCGCCTGTATATTTCCAGTCCAGATGTTTATCATGCCGTTACAGAGGAAAACATCTGTTATGATCATGGCTGAAATTTAAGCGTCGTGATCGAAACTTATGCAGCAGCAACCTTCGACATGTTTTAGTCTGTGATGTGCGCATTGGAAATAAACACACACAAAAAATTAAAGATACTAAATGCATAATCGTGAGTAAGTAACTCTAAGGTGTCATAAATAAAACTGAACTCCTCATAGTCCTGCTCAGTGGGACCAATTACAACAGCTAACTATTTTTTGTGTGCAGTAGTCACAACCACACTTTGCCAAAACACATCCATAAAGTGCAAACGAATGTGTTTTCCTGAGAAACAACCAGAGTCACTTTTTATTTTCACACACTTTTTTCAGCACTGTATGCCTCCAACAGTCTGCAGCACCCCCTGCACTGAAGTGAACTGATCTGGCAAGTGCATTGACAGAACCGTTTAAACACCATCATTAAATGCGACATGCCTCCCTTGAGGAGAGCTCTGCAATGTTATTATTGAAAATGTTGCAGCCAGATGAAGGCATCATGGCTCTGGGGAGGATACTTTGGGGTCTCGCCAAAGCCTCAGGCGTCAACAGGCTTGTGCTGTTATGTGTGGTCCTCAATGGGAGATATATTGCTCAACGCTGATGGTTTATCTCTGCACCATGATGACAAAAGTCCTCTCAAGTCCATGGGGAGTTTTCTGTGTGGCAACGTCAGCTATATAAACCTATGTACAATTGTATAGCTTTTTATGTCTGTCGGTTTCATTCAGAGGTTGTCACATGACAAAAAATTACAAAAGATGCGTCGCTGGCTCTCATCTCTTTGTAGATATACGCAAACATTTTAATGTTAATATTTGCAGTTAATAGCACATGAAGATAAGAGCAGCGACGGTAAAGATGTTGATTTACTGCGCAGATTGTTGAGATGAATGTGAAATATTCATACTTGTAATCCAGGACACTTCCAAACATTTTGGCTAATTATTTCTAATCACCTCATTCATAAATTAGAGTCAACTAAGATGATCAAAATCTAATAGCTTGAACATGATTCTAAAATTCATACTCAAATATTCTATTTCCCTCTCAGGATGCTGTTGTCTAAGGTCTAGGTTGTGCATAACCATATAAACTAAAATGGAAAATCCTCTCTGAAAGAGTAACTCAACATATTCCTGCACGGTAGTTCCTCTGCGTGGCAGGCCTGCTCATTTAAGTGCACGCTCATCGGTGAGACTGTCCCACAGCGAGGACAGGGAGGGATGGAGCCATCTACCTGCTCACACAAGCCATGAATGAAATAAAACCCCTGGAGCCGATCGAGCGCTGAGGAATGCAGGTCAGCACTGCGGGAGAGGTCTGCATTAATCTAAGGCAGATGTGCATTACTGGCTCCTATATAGTTATTATTCATACTCCCCAAACATCGGATCTGCAAAGCTACACAGAGTCCCTGAGATGACAAAGTGGGACTGGTTTACATAACCCTGTCTCAACAATACCTTGTGCAAACAAGCAAAGAGTCAGAAATGGACGTGGAGATTGGGTAATGATTTGAGAGGCTTTGGGGTTTCTGGGAAGGCCGCACACGTGTGGGAATGACTGTTTACATGCATGTACTTTACTGAACTCTGTGACTTTGAGATGCACTGTGTACACTGCTGCATCTACTATCTTTGCAATCATCACATTTTCTTTATGAAGGGAGTTTAGATCAGAAAAACGCTGGTGTTTATGGGCCTGTGGTCGATCCTGAGGTTGAGTTCTGCGTTTGCTGATACACAAAGGAAGCATTTGTGGTAACACTGGTACTTTCTAAAGGTTGTTTGTGCCTCACCATCTTTGTCCTTTTTAGAAAATAACCATTTAAAGCAAATTATGCAGTTATAAAATACAGCTTGTCAGTGTTTATACTCCCGAGCAGACCCCTCCTCCCTTCTAGTGGGATATCGAAGCATCCTGTGATATGTAAAACATTTTTTCTCAGAGTATGAAAACCAAAACAAGAACCCCCCAAAAAGTCCTGGCACCGTTTAAAAAGCATCCTGTCAAAATACAGTGCTCTAAGTACACGTTAAAAACGCTCGGGGAAGTGATGTCACCGGATATGCATGTGCTGATGAGTAACACATTGGGCCCATGTTAACAATAAGCAAATGCTAAAGTGACACCTTGTGATCGTGCCGGCAGAATAAATTAGAATGCATAATAAGTGAATGGTGGAGAGCATGAATTCCTGACTTGTTAAGAAACGTAATAGCTGAAATAAATGTGTGAGTCAGGAGGTGAGGCAGCAGCACTTCTCCTGCCATGAAAGGAGAAAAAAAAGTTTCATCTAATGAGAACTTTTCATTCCCTACATAATGATCTTCTCTCATGCTGTTGTGCAGAGCACGACAGGTATTGGCCTTTTACCTTCAGCCACCCCGCTCGGGGAAGGTGCCTCTGCAAAGCCAATACCTGTATCATATGAATCAGGAAGACCTTTTATCAGCTCTAATCAGCGGACTACAGGCCTTGTAAATGTATTTCTTTCTTCATGCATCTTTACTTTATTAAAGTCCACTATATATCAGAAAATATCTGTTCTTTCTACTCCACTACATTTTTACAATGCTTTGTGTTGAACGTTCACATAACTTTTCATGTTTTTCAATTGAATCAATGATGAGAGTGGAACTGGTCCATTCATTCAATCAGAGCAGGCAAGTACTCATTAGACACTGCCTCCTACAGCAACGGCATCACTGGATTCAGCCATAATGATGCAGTAGATAATTGCATTAGAGAATGGGCTACACTCAGCAAGTACTTTTACTTTTAAGTATATCTAAAAGCAAGCCCTTACTTCTCTTATTCAAGACACATTAATGTGGCTTTTTATATCTTTATTTGTGCTTTTACTTCAGTAAAAGGTTCTTGCACCAATGGTTGAATTTAAACCTTTGTAAGAGAAAATCTGGAAAATGCAAACGTGACCACACATTATGGTATTGTCATAAAAATAGATTAAAGCTTATTGATTGAAATGTAAACACAAGAAAGTCAAAATACTGGACATTACATTACCAGTATTATATGTTATGATCACTTTGGGTCCATGATTAACAATACTAATTTTTATCTTCTTCAGTTCTGCTTTGATATATATTTTCTAAAATAAAAGCCAGGAGGGGAAAGTAATCATTATTGAGTGACACTGCTGCACCACAAACTTTCTTTATGGAGCTCAATGATTAGAAAGAGCCAAAGCTACTACATGAAAATGTGATTACAGTGTGATTGACAGTATAAATGTGATGGTGGAATGTATTTCAGACCTTCAGAAGACAGGGAGAGGTTACAGACGATCATTTATAATCACATTTGATTCTAATTCCTTCCTTTAAGGATTCTTTTATTACTTAATGTTTCTCTTCCAACCCAAACTTCCAACCCCAAATACAATCAAAACACTGAAAAGGTTAGAATAATAACTTTACTTTGTCTTGACCTTGAGTGGTCAATGCATTGACTGTGTAGTGATACTCTGCATTTTGCCGAACAGGCACTTTTAAAAATAATATTATATCATGAGGTTTTTTTAACGTTAAGGAGAAAACCTGTGTAGTTCCTTCACTTATACACTAGAAAAATTAACACAAAAAAACTATTTCTGTGGTGTTTGATATGAGACAGAGACAGCCACAGCCCAAGGTATTATGACAGTAGTGAGGTCATGATCGTGTCAATTTATCAGGAGCTGAAGCTGAGCAGAAAGATTTTTCGCTTTCCCAGGGAATCTGCATTCCTGCGTGAGCCGCTGACATAGATCTCTCCTCTGGAACATCTGGGAGCCTCCCTTCCACCAAGGAAACAACAGTCAACATCAGGCGGAAAAAAAAAAATCCAGCCGTGAAGCAGCAGTGAATGCAAGATGAATAGTCACCTGTTGAGGACCAAAGCTGAGGGAATATCTGACTGTATTTGGTCCATATAGAGGTGTGATGAGTAGAGAACCATATCGTGGCAGACTGCTATCAGCTCTGGGACAACGTTTTAGAGCACTCTGTTTAAAAGCATTCCCTTCCCTATTTAGTGTTTGGTCATTAACCCTTCCCCAGGTTACTAATTTATAGTGTTTCTTTTATTTGGCTTCACTTGACCCTCCCCGTCCCATTCCATAAAAACTGAGAGGGTGCCCTGTTGCTTTACAACTAGTTAAATTACACTTTGATGTTTTCTCTCCGTTTTCAGCGGTGATTAAATTGCTGACCCTAGTAAACATCTGACCTCAGCTAACTGAAGAGGTCTGCAGAATGTCACATAGACATTCTGGCAAATTGCGGGATCAGCTGGCGATACGCGGAGCAATCGCATGTACGTTGGTGAATCCTGACACATTCGAAAAACACATTCCGCTGAAAGCCTAAAGAACCTAGAGCCAACGCAGTGGAATCTTGGCACTAGAAAGAAAGCGTTGTGCGATGGCAGCGTTCTGCAGAACAGCGTGCAGAAGAGACAGCTAAGCATGCGGGAATACTTGAAGATGTTTGTCGTAAACGATTGCGTGGTTGGCAGAGAGAAGAGAGATGAGTTTGGAGTAGGAGACAGAGAAAAGATATCTATTGAAGTGGAACTGTTGCAATCAATGCAGATTCCAGTGTAAGCTTTTTCCAGGCTTTATGCTAAGCTAGGCTAAGCTAGGCTAACTGGCTGCTCCAGTAGGTTGATAATAACTGTACAGACAATAAAGTTTTAAATTCTTGTTAAGAAAGCAAATAGGTATATTTTCTTCCTCCTTGGAGATAGAACTGCTAGTCTGGAGCCAAAGTAAATGTTGGCGATAGAGTCCTGAAAATTTCAAATAGTTCCATCTTTCCATCCCCTCATCTGTGCACCCAGCTGGGCTCTCTAACAGGATATGTGCCTTGCTCAGGGGCATGATTGCATATTCTCTCACTGATGCAAATGCCAAACAGAAAACCTGGAGTTGACCTGTCTTACTTCTTAACGCTGCATCCACGCTCCTGCCCAGGGCTAGAATAATAAAATATTGCACAGTTCTTGAGCGTAAGAGGCCAGTGCAGGGGTTGGTGATGTCAGAACATCTGCCTGTGCGCCGAGACTATAAGAGGGTCTGACAGGTGGGCCACAGCAATATGAGGTCATGAACTCCAGCTGGGCAAGCTGTGTTGTTCCATTAGCGTCTTGAACGGGGCAAGATGGAACCAGAGAGCAGGGGAGGGCTGCTGCAGTTTTCTGAGGGGATGACGATTGACAGCTCATTGTGGGACACTCTAGCCAAAGGCGTACTAATCCATGAAAACAAACATGCATGCTGGAGACAGCCACCGCCTAGCTTCATCACCCCCAAACTATTCAGTCATCTAACTAACCACTAAAACACTTGGCTCAGAGAGTCACCAGTGCCACACGGTGTCAGCTCTCTTTCAGGCAAGGCACTGGGCTTCAGAGAGTGACAGTATTCATTACTGACATCACTCGTGACAAGTATAGAAAGTGACAAAGTAAAACGCACGCACATTAGTACAAAACTATTAAGTTAATCATGCTCAACTTGATCTACCTCAGAGAGAAATGCTGGACTGAAGTAACGCTGGTGTTGCACAAGACTCACAAATCTGTTTATGTGGAAGAGACCATTATGCGCTGGTTTCAAACCAATACAGTTGGGACAGGGCGCGCTCCCCGTGCCCACTCGCAGGAAAGGCAAACAGAGAGTCTGACAGAGCGCGCTGTTCTCACTGGCCCACAACCAGAGCCCTTCAGCTTATTTATTCACACGGTTGTTTGTTTATTGAAGGAGAAGGGACAGCTTTCTTCATCTCCTGAAAGGAAACAAAAAAGCTGGCGTTTCGCTGACAGGAACAGAGCAAGGTCTGTCACAAAATGGACGCTCGCAAAATTGAAGGTGACAAACACAATGTTGTTTACATGTGAGGGGCAAGGCTGTGGGGGGAAGTGTGGTCGCCCCCCGCACACAAGGCCCACCATACACGGCGTCGAGACGGAGCAGGTTTCGCGTGGCTCGGATTTCATGTGGCGTGATTGAGAGATGAGAGGGAGAGGCCTGCGACGGTTGTGTCAGGGGTCACGCCAATGTGTAGTGACATAGCTTTCAAACAGAAAAATACATTTCTTCTTTGTGACTGTGAGACCCGCTGCATGCAGACAAGGCCTGTGAGCCTCAGAGTAAAACATCGCAGAGGTGATGTAAGCCTTAAGTAAATGTCATTTCATGTGGATGTGGTAACGTGATGATGAGCAGACACACACTCCCTGACATTAATGTGAGGCAGCAGGGTTTTTATTCAGCCACATGTAAAGAAAGTTTTGCTGTGCTGAATATCCCCATTATACATTAGTAACTACAGGACTATATGTCTTTATTTGTTCAGCTCTAAAACAGTTAGAAAGTTGGTTAAAATAGATTGTTTGAAAGTAATAATATAGAGTAAGAATATGATTATATAATTATATTCTTATTTAAGAATATAAATATTAATAAACAACTGTGATGGTTCTTTTGGTTTTTTCATTCTAAATGTTTAAATTATACTCATGACAGTTAACTTAAAAATCTATGGGCCCTCGAATGTAAAGGTTTGAGTCCTCCTGCAATGGTTGTGGGTTCTATTCCGACTCAGCCCCTTGCCATCTTTCCTCACTCTCCCTATTCTACACATTGCAATTGCGTCAATGCCTGAAAAACACATTTTAAAACAATAGAATCTACAATATATTGTATGAATTTTTTGAGCAGTTTCATCAATTCAAATCTAATAATTAAAGGTGTTCTCCACTCATTTACTGTTATAATTCTGTAAAGTCGGGAGACTCACAAAATACTAATCTTTAAAAAGTTGTCAAATTTAAAGTACAAGCTGAGGTCTTGGCCAACAACCTGGATCCTACATGTCCCATAATACAACTAGACATCAGCTTTCATTGGACCCACTTCTTTCAAACCCCACCTCATTAGTTTTTACTGTCTTTAAAAAAAATCAACAGAAAGTATCTAAACATATAAAATGTATAAATGGATCCTCATGTGTAAAACTGGTGGTTTGCGCCATTAAAAAAACACAATATTATTGATTGTAATCTTCAACATTTCTTTGTGGCTCTTTGTTAAATTCAATATATATGCAGGTAAAGACAACAGCGGCCTGACAGATTCCGAATTGCCCCAGAGCGTCGACCCTCCTGGGATGGAAGGCAGCTACCTGAACCTGAAGGAGCCTGGCGTGAAGGGACCGAGTGAGCGGCCGGGCTCGGACCTCTCCAGCCCTCTGGACAAAAGTGAGGCAGAGAGTAACAAAGGCAAGAAGAGGCGCAATCGCACCACCTTCACCAGCTACCAGCTGGAGGAGCTGGAGAAAGTCTTCCAGAAGACACATTACCCAGATGTCTACGCCCGTGAGCAGCTGGCACTGAGGACAGACCTGACAGAGGCTCGTGTGCAGGTGAGGACATCAGGTGTAACACCTGCAAAAACCTTTCTTTGCATTGACATGGACCAACAGGTCCTTCAAATTCATTCAAAATCAGTGTTAAAACAATGTTTTATGATGTGAACACAGTTTGGTTGGTTTAGGGACAAAATTGTCTAGCTAAGTTTAGTGAGAGGGTGTGGGGGATTTAAAGTTAGACTTGGGGTTGTTTAAGGTAACGAGAAATAGTGATCTGGGTCAAGGTTAGAGGAGCTTTGGTGTCTTGTTTAAATAATACTTACATGGATATAGTTTGGAAAGAATAGAAATCTTGTTAAAAGAGTCATTATAGGTATGAAACAGGAAACAAACATATATTTTTCACCTCAACCTCCTCCGTACACAGGCGGACTAAAATATATTTTTTCTCACGTCAAAATGACCACAGCCATTAGAGGGCTTTGTCACTTGAACACGAACGTATGTTGTTTTGAGGCACTTCCTGAAATGACTGATGCTTTCATTCCTTCTTGGGATCCTTGAGATTGAGTTGCCTTGTGTGAGGGCGGTCGTCCATGTTTGCATGCTAATAACCACTCAGGGAACTGAGAAAGAGGGCTGGGAGAGTTAAGACTGGCATGTTGACAAAGATTGTTGGGAACAGCAGACAGCAAGGCCTATTGTTCTGAATCTCTCTTTCTGCCTGCCAGTTTTAGATCAGAGTGGGATGGGTGGGACTGAGGGAATACTCTGCACTTAGCTCTTACATGCTGCAGGCTCTGCAAGAAGGTCAGAGGCCAAGGGTTTCTCCCGAGCACTACCGTGTTCAAACTACTTCACCGCACAACTCTGGAGGCAGGGAGGGAAAACACATGGGAAAAAAGCAAAGAAAAGTCATCAAAGCCATTTGGCAAGGATATAAAAAACACTTTGAGATGCCACTTTCAATTTCCATACATAGTCCAAGACACAGTCAGGGACAGAGAACCTGGCCGGGTCCTTGTGGTGGTACAGTAAAATAAGTACATTGATGTTGCGTTCACACAGACCCATCTATTCCCCAGATGAATATAATTAACTTCCTCATCTGACAGGCACACAACAGACTCTGTTGAGTCACTGTGAGGTTCGACCCGTACTTCTAAAATCAGGCCCGAAATATGCGTGCAATCAAGACTAAACCCCACAATTTCAACTGAAGGTCCATCAAGACAAAGTCCAGGGATATCCAATTGTTGAATACCAAGGGGCACTCGAAGCTTGGCAAGCGACCGGAGAATCCTTTTCATCTCAGAGAGAACAGCCATTCAGATCCAGAGTACAGATGTTTTCTGCCAAAATGCCAGTGTCAAGGTCCTACAGTTTCATCCTCAGTTTGATGATGAATGTCTTCATAAACTAGGCTGCAGTTTTCCATAATCAAATCGGCAACTTTTGCTGCCACCAGTTTATTTAGTACAATTTGCTCTCAACCTCAGCCTTGAACTTCACCACACTGACTACTTTTTTATGGAGGAGGAGGAGGCTGCGTGTGAGTGACTGCTGAAGCAGTCTATCAATTGCCGTGGTCGTGGATGACAGAGATGAGGTGCGACGGCTGAACTTCAAAGCTGCATTTGGAGCCGTGCACTTTGCCCTCCCTCTCTCCCTCTTCCTCTCTCCCTGCCTGCTGGCTCCAAAGCATAAATAAAGCTCTTTAATGGCTCTGTAAGCTGCGTTTTGCTGTCAACGTCTTTAGCAATTACTGTATCACCGCCAAGCACATTGAGCTCCAAAGGCACTGAGCCACCTTCATTGCAGATGTCTGCGAAATAAAATAAACAAGGCTAAATAAGCGTTTGCACTTGGTAGATACCATGCCCTTCTATATCATACAATAAATATATAAAATTTGTCATTGTGTATTTTGAGAAATAATAAAAATAATTGTGACGCTGCTCATGACACCTCAAGCCTTCCTCTTTGACAAACATAGAAACGTTATAGGTTGGGGAATAAGAGACACGGAGCAGCAAAGGACACATCTGACTTCATAATGTTCCCTGAATGATCTTCTTGCCAAACTATTTGGCCTCAGTCTCATTCCTCCTGCCATTCAAAGGAAAAGCAACACAGAGCAAACGGTCTGTGAAACATGACACACTCAGAACGTTAGAAATCATCAGTTAGTGACTAACTTAATTTTGTGAATAACATAGTATGTAAATGTGTGTTCTCTGTGTGTGTGTGTGTGTGTGTGTGTGTGTGTGTCTGCTCTTGTCTACACGCCTCCGAAAGGTCAGAGGGGTTAGCTGCGGAAAGCCAAGGGCTTAGGCGTCAGGAAATTAAACATGAAATGAAAACAAGCTCCAGTTTGAACATTCTCCCATCTCACTTTCCAATATCCCCACTTCCCCTCGCTGACTTAAAAGGAAGGAGGGAGGAGAGCGACACGGAGAGGGGTCGACGGCGGGGGATGGGGGTGCTGGAGTGGAGAGAAGAGGCTGAGCTTCGACCGAGGGGAGGGAGAGAACGACAAAGAGATTAAGATGAGGGGAGGAGAGAAGGGGAGTTATCTCGATCCATCACAATTAAGATGACGCTCCGTAACTGATAAAACTTCATATGTTAAACTGATAGTGGAGCTTTGAAATACATAAACAGTATTAATCTTACAGACTTTAACCTCAGTCACAGGCTGAGCCATTAATATATAACAATTCCATTAAAGTCACAATTTATATACAGTATATGCAATCTGTGAAAAATATATAACTAGCAGTGTATCATAAAATGTATAGGTAATGATCTGTAAAAAAGTATTACATCAGCCACAAAAATAAAATAAAATATCTACTTGTACCCGTATTGCCTAATTGAGGTAACTGGTGTTGCCCTTGTAAAACCTCCATATATACCAATAACATTTATTTACTTGTATTATAACTTCCTTAAAATATTTTGAATTTGGCTTATGCTGGAGACCATGTTTGTTTTGATTAAAAGGAAGAGGTGCCTCTTAAAAGTAGATTTTATGTGCAGAGGACTGAAATGTTTTCATCCAGGTGGTTAGTACTTTTACCACTGCCAACAAGATTATGTTTTCATTGCCGTTTGTTTGTCTGCACGTTAGCAGCATTACACAAAAACTACTGGATGGATTACCACAAAACTTGGTGGAAGGATGTGGTATGGTTCCGGGAAGAACCCATTAAATTTTGGTTTTGGATCAGGGGGTGGATGCAGGAATGTTTTATTTCCTTTTTTAAATTATACAGAAAATAATACAAAGATCTTGATGAAAAATCTGACAAATTAAGGAGGCTAGTATCTATTTACAACCCATAGCTAAAGTAAGAACTTAGTGCTAAATCTGTTCAATAAGGACTGTCAGAGGAAAGTACAAAGTACGCCTCTGTTCGTATAGCATTTGGTAGCTTCCACCATCGGGGAACCACAAATGAGAAGGGTCTGGACTGTGAACACCAGAAGATGTTCCTTGCACAAACGCAGTGGTCTGTACAAAGCATTAGTATATTTCAAGAGTTCAAGGCCTACCGGGGGGGCATTGCCGTAGTTGAGATGAGAGATGACCATGGTGTGTAACAAGACCTGTGTTAAATAACGAGTCAGGTACGGCCTGATCTTTTCTATGGGTAGTGGCACAATAAGGCGACAGAGCTAGAATAGCCTGAAAAGATAGTTGGTCAAGATGTTGACAACATTGACACCCAGGTTTCTCGCAACATTGGTTGAGGCGAGAAGTAAAGAGGCCATTTTGATGTTGAGATACAACATATATCAACCTCTACCCAATCAAACTGTCGTGTCTAGATACTTAACCTATACCTGTCCATATGCTTTACACGGGTATACAAAGGTCAAACCTTGAGGATTAAGTTTGGAAAACCTGTGATGTTTTGGGTTAACAAAACCAAAGAGCCACTAAAGTAAAGACATGACAAATTTTAAAACAATAATAGACCACAAATCCTGAGGGGAATATAACACAGACTGCGCCTCCTATCCTTCCCCCTCAGAACATAAGATATAATTCAAAGGGCAACGACCCTTCACCTTGACGTTGGGGTTCAGTCACAACCCAAGATATCAGCTTACCTCTTCGCTGTCGCTTGAGCTGTCCTCTAATCTCGCCAGCTGACCTGAGGAATGTCGGAGTCAGATGACATATCTTTACGTCACCTTCTTGCAAAAACACAGGCAGCAGCTATATGAAGGCAACCATAGGACGCCATATATGGTCTTCTCTTTGAAAATGAACCAGAGAGTTTAGTTTTATAGTAGATTTTGCAGGGCAAAAAACAAGCATGAGGTTATAAGATCATATGCATGTGGAGATCAAATCTTTGAGTGGCAGCTCGTGTTTGTCACTAAACTCTCGTACTCATAGAAATGGTCAGAGAGAAATGTGAGGAGGGGGGATTTGAAGAGGTTGACTGAGGCAAAATTGCATGTCAGCGACTGTGAAAACCACAAGCTGATTAGGCTGGGAATCAACCCACAATCCAAGTTCAAACCCCTGTGTCGAGGCGGGATCGCTCTCTCTTCTCTCTTTGAAGAAGTTTCCCCCTTCCCTCTTGGGAGGATAAGATTCAGACAACTAACAAATAGATACAGATAAACATGTGGAGACTCCCAGAATCCCACTCTGCTCGGCTATTCTCCTGCATGGAGATATGAGAAAATGATCTTAGAATAAAAAAATTAAAAAAAGACGGATCAACAGACATTACAATGGATTGTGTTAGGAAACCCACAGTTCCATGGCTGGGAAAGAAAAGAAAGGAGGAGAGAAAATAAAAGACAAGAGGAATAAATGAGGTGGCAATTGGGTTAACTTGATATGGTTAGGTTTAGGAAGGTAGTTGCTTCTGATGTACTTTATCTTATTTGGAGAAATCTTCACATCTAATAGCCGGCAATTAATAAAGTTGTCTGAAGACAAAAGACAAAAAACGCTCCTTCAGGACTTAAGCACAACCAATAAATTATTTCAGACCGAATGAAATGATTGGTCGGCATATTTGTCCGTCACTAACCAACCTGTCAGCATGAGCGCACCCGGCCCCACCCACGAACATATTTTCAAACGCACCCATAAATAGTATCTGTTAGTATTGTGTCAGGGATTGTTCTCTGCCACTGTAAGTGCTATGGATGTGAATGTGTATGGCTGAGATTGTAATAGTACCAAAGTACCATATAATACCAAAATCAGACCGACTGAGGGCACCGACAGAAAATGGTTGAGTCCACCCTGTCTTCACCCTGCACACGATGACATAAGCCTTATTCAGACTTCCAGCCCAAATCTGTGTAGTGGCATCCAGACTGTATCTAAGTTGATTTTAAAGAGTACTGATGGCAGGGAGAGAAAAAAAACAACATGAAATGAGATTTGTACAAATCAGATACAAGCCACATTTGGAGGTGGCCTCACCGTCTCAGTCCGGATACTCCGACAGCTCAAACAGCATTTCAATTAGAATATCAAATACGGCCATTACATTGTTAGTGACATGTTGTTACTACAGCAGCCCATGGAGATCCAATCTGAACACTTAAAAATAACAGGATATCCCTCATATCATGTGTATTATCAGTGGCTCGCACACTTTGAGGTTGGTGGTTAGAACCATTGTGAATTTCAATTCAATCATTCAAAATAACAAATAAGTGTTAAGTGCTGATATCTCTCAAAGGTTTTATACAGATAAAACCAATTAATAGATTTTTCTATAAATTATCAGATGACAAATATTCATTAATGTCACAAGTTGACAATTTAAATATCTTAAGTCCAAACCTCAAAGGGATTTAAACTATTTTGATAAAAGACTAAGTAAATCAAATATTCACATTCCGGGAACAGAGAAAAATGTGTTCAACAATTTACATATTTTTCTAATTACTGACTGACAAATGGTTTCAACCTCAATTTACTGTACATACAACCGGTGTGAGAAGTCATGTTTGTGCTATTACACAGTTTAGAAGTCAGGCCAGGAAATGTTTAACCAATTATTAAAAGATGTGAAAGTGAAGGGAAAAAAGAAACGGCTCATGTTAAAGGATAATTACAATGATTATGTTCTACAAGGTGTAAACGTCTAGTCGATCTGTGGCTGTTTTATTAACACAAACAATGAATCACATGCTCATGTTACTTTTTTTCTTTTTTAAATCGAGTAAATATTTACAGATTTTTATTAAGTTCTTATCACTTCCTGGATGGACAGACATACAACTGATGTGTATTAAGAGTATAACAATAGTAGAGTATCTTGTACTACTGAATGACAAAGCATTGACAGTTAATACAGTTATTAAAATGACTCCTGTGGATTCCTCTAAAACTAAACTTTGTTGTCTCTCTCTATGTTATAATCCTCCTCCACCCTTCAGTCCTGCTTTCCTCCGGTGCCGGCACAGTCCAGGAGAGTTGCCTAAGTAGCCTGCACTTTGTCTGTCAGCGGGTTCTACCTTTTCTACACAGTGCCATGTCTCTCAATCTCAAATGACCCAGAAAAATCCAAACTCATAGGCTACATTTAAAATACTGAATAACCCCAAAGATCGAGGGATAGAAAAATATATTATTATAGAATATAACTATTCTTAAGTTGAACTTGAGTTTCATGGATGATAGAGGGATTCCCTGCTGTATCCCACTGTGCTGATATGTGGGGGAGAGCACACCTTTCTCAGACGTGATTTATGAACGGCTACAGGCCCAGATGTGGATCTGTCCGCGCTGGCAGCCTGAAGGGAGGCAGACAGCCGCGTTTCAAAGGGAGGAGCTGAAACGCGCAGCACCAGGGGAGACTCACCACTTTCACATCAATAGCCCGCGTGGACGGCACTTTAAAGACACGTCAAGTCTTAAAACTTGGGCCTGGACTTTCATGTGCTGCAGAATTTATTTGCTCCACTATCTTCATTTTATGTGGTTCAGTCTCTTACTGTGTCTTGCTGAATAGAGAGGAAGGGCCCCGGTTAGTGAAAAGGCACCAGGGGGTTTCTACTGTCTGTGACTTGAAAGCTAAAAGAGATATTTATTCAAGTTAAGATGGTGTTTGGGTTTTGTTTAGTAGTGGCTGGTGTGTATTTTGAGGTATTTCCCTCATGGACTGTTTTCTTTGCAGGTGTGGTTTCAGAATCGCAGAGCCAAGTGGAGGAAGAGGGAGCGTTTTGGCCAGATGCAACAGGTCCGCACACACTTCTCCACCGCTTACGAGCTGCCTCTACTGACTCGGCCTGAGAACTATGCACAGGTAAAAAAAAAATCTTTACACACCCAAAACCAAACTGCGCTGATTCACATGGATTTTTAGTATGTGCTGACATGAGACAAGACAGACTGCAGAATAAATACAGTACATTTTTGAGGCTGCTGTCCATGGACACAATTATCCCACAATGCAATGCACAAAGGCGATGGAGGAGCTGCTCACAGATGGAAAAAATTATAATAAACTGTGGATGGTGAGGAAAATACTCCCCCAAAATCTACGAAAACCAAAAAAAAAACATATTAACTGAGGAAAAAACATTTTGATGTGTCAAGTTCACTTGGCAGAAGATTCCCTAAGTCACAGTTTAAATCACATCCAACATCACACGTTGTGTATCCTGTTACTCAACTGTTTTGTGATCACATAAAAACAGAATACTACAAAACTTAATGTGTTGCAAATATTACGTAGAATTAGAATTGCTTTAATTTATAAAGTTCGTTAAGTAGTTTTCAGACATGAACTTTGTATGAACAATGCAGCAGGAGCTTCTCCAGGTCAGACGCGTTCACAGCAACAGGAAAATCCCCAGAGAGTTCAGGTGTCACCTCTTTTTTATCCTGAGATATTCGTATTCTTTTGTTTCAGTTTTGTGTCTGTCACGTTAGAAACGTCATCAATACGTACACTTGCTTGCAGTGAATTCTCTGGACATTGTCCTGCTGAAATATACACAGCAACTGACATATGTGTTCTCACATATAGCCCTTCTGGAATCTCTTAGGATAATATGTATAGTTCAGTGGATGTCTGAAAGCAACTCTCTTCTCATTCTGACGCTCTCGTCCTCCAGATCCAGAACCCTTCATGGATCGGGAGCAGCAGTGGAGCGTCTCCAGTGCCCGGCTGTGTCGTGCCTTGTGACTCTGTCCCATCCTGCATGCCCCCTCACCCTCACGGCCCCGGAGGCGTCTCCGACTTCCTTGGCGTGTCCAGTCCTGGAAGCAGCCACATGGGACAGACGCATATGGGCAGTCTGTTTGGGGGTCCCGGGATGGGCGGGGGAATCAATGGCTATGATCTCAATGTCGATCCAGACCGCAAGTCCTCCAGCATAGCTGCGCTGCGTATGAAGGCCAAGGAACACAGTGCAGCCATCTCCTGGGCCACATGATGTCCCAGCCCAGCTCCACCCTGCCCCCACTGGGCCCCTTTCTCCGGAGCAGCCGCCGGCCAGCGCTGCGAGGGAGGAGGGACTTTTCCTGAGAGCACTAATGATAACACAGGTCAAATGAACAGGGAGAGACTGTGGAGATAACAGAGGCCATTACAGCGGCCACAGCAACCGAGATAACAACTGTGACAATCAGCAGATGCTGAAAGTGAGAGAAGTACAGAGATGTGACTGAGACGAAGATGGTAGTTGGATTGTTTTCACTCTTGATTCCTTGATCTCTCAGGTCTCATTGATATATGGGGTTTATTCCCTTATAAACTGGGTACGATTCACATAGGTTTAGGTAAAATAAGCAACATAAGATACATGGTTTACAAAATACCTTGATGCAGGAACTCAAACCAGCCGTATCATACAGTATTCTTATTTACAGATTTAGCTTGATTCATACTATTCACATAATTTAGCTTTTTTTTTTATTCCATCCATCCTGTTCCAATCACATAATTTGCGTTGTTCGTGCGACTGCCTCTCGAAACTCATCTCACATTATGTAGAAATCATGATTTACATTTTCAAAGCTATTTAAGAAAACAAGGTTACTCAATGAGATTTATTTTCTGTCACTTTCCAGTGCAAACTGTCCATTACAGCAAAAACAATATTTGGTTATAAAATGTTAATTTGGTCTTTGCCTGCTGTGGGTGGTTTATGTCCCTGCAAACTAAGACAGGGCCTGAATGAAATAAGTGAACAGAGTCTAATTGAGAAAGAGCAGACGTGGCCTGTGCCAGGTTAGTCTGGGAGGAGGGCAGGCCCTGGATTGGCAGCAATTTCAAACCAACGTGTCATTTCCTCCCCCAGGGCTGCCTCCACAGGTTCCCCCTGCGAGGCTCAGGCCTCAGGTTACAGGAAGCAGTGTACGACCACTGGCAGAGGCGCAGCAACGCACAGCAGCAGCCGTCAACACTAACTAAGCACGCCAACTTACATCAGCAGCCCATGGCAATAGATACACATAATTAGCATCAGACTGAGCTGTCCTGCCCTGTGAACACCACAGTGCATCGCAGTGTACGCGGTGAAGACAAGCTGCACACGAGCTGTAATAATCAATTCACCGTTAGACGTGCGCTCAGCAGAGACGAATCCTGGACTCGCCGCTCGCTCACGGAATCCGTCCCATGCCAGAGACTGCAGGCCAAATCAGTGGCCCTCATCGTTCCAGAGGAGCGTTCTGTAATGTTTAGGTAATGTGGAGACATTAGAGCTGGACTGCAGGAATGTGGTGAGTGTGTCCAGTGATTGCAGGGGTGTCTGTGTGTGTTACCCTGCTGGAATAAGTTTGTCACCAGAGCTGGGCTGCAGGCTGAGGCCAGAGACAGGCTTCATCAGCTCTTTTGGCTGATCCCTCGATGACGCCCGCAGGGCCACATATCCGTTTTCTTTTCCCCTGTGTGGATGATGGCAGGAAGGTCTGGCTCTGCTGCTCATAGCTGGTTGATCATTGTAACATATGAGTGACCGTTACAGCCCTCCTATCAGAGAGTAGGACTGCAACCAAGTATTTTCCGTATCGATTAATCTACATTATACAACATTCTTCATTATTTTCTCTATGAAAATGAGGCACGAGTCCATTCAGTTTAGGTAACGCAGTTTGAATTGTGAGAGGTGAAAGTCAAAACCATCCTTCAAAAGTTCAGGATAAAAAAGACTGTTGTGAAAATAATTGTAAAATTAATGTGTATGACTTCTCGCTGGTCCTCCCTCAAAGCTCCACTCCTCTGCAGCTCCGTCCGTGTTGATACTACTGAAATGAATTGAAATCCATGGTTATGATGTCGTATTGTGTGAACGTGAACAGTATAAATGATATTGTTCTTTTTGCTTGTACATTTGTTTTGCTTATTTGTCGAATAAAGAACCTCCAGAGATAAGCCAAAGAAGTATTACAGTAATATTGCCAAGTCGTGTAAAATTATGTTCTGCGTGTTACTGAAGAGTTGACCTGGATTTCTTCCGAGGTTGAAATTCCTTCTAATTTTCTTATTGCTTCACGTGGCTTTTTGTATATTAATCAAGTATTTCTACTTCTGATTGTGTCTTTATATAATGTGCTGTTGCAATAAGTTATTGCACTTAAAGTTTTTTTTTTTTTTTTTTTACTTGGGAATGGGACCGCAGTGTTTTCGATTTTTGAACTGTCTCCCAAGTCCGTCCACATTTAGAAACCAAGAACAGCATCACTGAGATCTGTTTGAGGTGTCGACCATTTGTTTGTACAGATAAGTAACTTGCTGTTTCTGTTGATGATGGTTTTGAAGTGACTTTGAAATAAATGAATCTTTAATGGTTAAATGAGTTAAGATATTTTCTTCTTTAAAAAGGTCCTCAATGAAATTCTAACTCTAACTGATGGGGTGGAACAGCATCGCAGTTGATAAAGATCTAGTCATTAGTTTTCTGTTCCTGATTCCTCATTTAGCAATTTTTTAATCAATCAACAACCGTTAGTCCCTACATAATACTCGATAGGTACTCTGCAAGGTAGGACTTTGCAAAAACTACAACAGATTTCCATGAAATGATGTAGGGGCGTAGTGCATGACCCAAAGAAAAACACATTAAATGTTGATGTGGGTCTGAATCAGGGGACGGTTCCATGATTTTTATTTCATTTTCGACTAGCGAGATTTTTCAACCTTTGTGGATTTCTCAGAGAATATAATTTTTACAATTAAATAAAGCATTATCATTCTAAGGCCACTGGAATCAATATTCTAAAAAACATGTTCAAAGAAAGTATATTCAGATAAGATAAACTATAAATTACTATTCTTAAAAAAATGCTGCAAGGTTCCAATAGTGACATACAAACTTTACATAGTCGATTCCTATAAACTGCTACGTAATATAATAAGACCAGTGAATACACACACACATACACACACATACAGAATAAATGACATAAAGGACTTGATAGAAAACCTACATTGACCAGGGTGGTGGTGGGCCGGGGGTGCTGTTGAACATGGATGATATGTGATCCCATTCTTTTTCTTGTATCAGCAGCTTCCAGATGGGATGCTCTGCCCGAGCCATTAGGCCCAAAGTTAAGCCTCATAGTTTGAATGGGCCCTAAATAGCTCCAGGTGGTCTCTGGCTAACGGCCTAGCAATGGCTGTGGTGAGAGAAAGCTGTCATGCAACACAATGTGCAACATCATTCTACACAGATGTTCCTGGTTTTTGCAATACAAGCTCAATCATGCAACAAAACAGTCCTCAGAAAAACATTTTCATAAGCTCTTCTAAACATCCTTTCCTACGCAACAAAAGCAGCCTGTGATCAATCCACCCTTTATTTCAAACTTTGTGCTGAATGTCATCTGCAGAAGGCACAACCACTTGTGACAACTCTCACGTTAGACAAAAGGGGAGGCACGGCCAGAAATACAATAAAAAAAAACACAATAATGTGTGCCAAATCACATCTTACCATTGCTGGGGTCTTTGCCCTGCAAAGAATGTTGGAGCCCTCTCATCTCTGCTTGCTCCCCGCAACAATTGCCATCTTTTCCACAGTTGTGCAAGAGTTTAAATGCAGCGCTCTGATCGCACGAGAATGTGAAAACTCAAGAGAAGCCTTTCTGTAACCCACTGCGGAATCCAGCTCTAGCTGAGGAACTGGAGATCAATAAGACGACAATAGAAAGAACGACAGACCTGCTTCTGAACAGGCTTTTAAGAATCAGATGAAATGCTTAAGAAACAACAGATATTCCCTCTATTGTGTCGGCAATAATAGTAATAGCATCTTACTCTGTAGAGAGCATACCCCCACCAAGGCCAAACAGTCCTATTATGAAACCACATTTAAATTCACTAGATCCAGATTTTTAATTTGGATCTGCACCACACTGCACACACTCATAAATATTGGTCATTTTAAATCAAGATGCATGAATTATAATTATTGTAAAATAAAGAAAAAAAGACACCATAACTCACAACATTAAAGACATTTTGATTGAAGGGAGTAGTGAGTATTTACAGCAGCAAGATAGTGTTATTTGACATTCACTCAAAATAAAGTACAGTGCCTCTGCATGTCAATGGAACACGTCCATTTCTAATATGAATCATGCTCCCTGATCCATTCCTCATCTGTCTACCAAATTTTGTGGAAATCCATTCAATGTATTTTGTGTAATCTTGCTTATGAATGAACGAACATGCAAACCAACCAAGAAACATTTAGACAAGGGTTAAAACATAACCTCCTTAGCAGAGGTGAAATATAAAATATCTACACTTATTTTGAATTAAGTGCTGATAAATCATCTATGACCCCTGAGAGATCATCTTACAGCCGACAGAGTTCAGAGGTCACAGAAACTCAAATGACAATGGGAGCACTATAGGTAAAGGGACATTCCCCCTGCCTCTGCTCTCCCCACATGTCTAAAACGTGAGCAGATGAGATAAATAAACACTTGCAGGGAGGAAGAAGAGCAGCCCACTGTGCCCTGAACAGCACTCATTAAACCTAATGGGTCACGCTGCTCCAGCCAGGCTCCACTGACACCCTTAATAGAAGGCTGCATGGTTAAGGGACCATGAAGACCATTAGGGCACTTCAAAGTTCACTCCACTACATTAGGGCCCTGCAGAAATGGCAAAGAGGGGACAGATCCGATTCCCCGTTCACCGCTTTATTTTTCCATCGGTCAGTCTGTCAATCAGCCTGCTCCATAAACAAGTGGATGCTTGAGCCGCTCATTAAGAGCCGTCGTTAGCTAGGCCCAGGCAGTAAATCTGTGCTTATATCAGCTTTCAGCAAAAAAAATCTTACGTTATATTTTAGAGCTTACACTGTTAAATGATCCCAGTGGTTTGAAAATTAACTTGTAAATCTAATTTCTCCACTCATCTCTGGACCAGTGTTTGGACGCCTAAGTGCAGAAGACAAGCGCAACATGTGAATTCACAAACGCCATCTCTGCTACTACAAAACTAAAGTCCACCTTATTCAAATAACTTCAAGTGACATCTTGTTGTAAATCAAAAGAGGCAGCAGAAGCTTGATATA